CACTGAGTGCCGTTCCCCTCCTCCTCCTCCTTCTCCGTCTCCCACTGCTGCAGCTGCCGCTGAGGGGGGTGGGTGTGTGGGAGCCGAGGGAGTGGCGCTAGGGGGTGTAGTGTGAGCGGTGCTAGGGGAACAGCAGGGGGTGTGTAAAAAGGGGGTGGGACAGCTGGGGGAAGTTGAGAGGAGGCCGTCGACTTGTCGTCCGCAGCGCCTGAAGTCCAGGGAGCCACGACCCCCTGTGGCCTGAGTAGTCCGGGGCTCTGCGCCCGGTAGCTACAGTGTGTGCACTCCTGGGAGCACAGCGAGCCAGCTGCGACCCCCTGTCGCCGTGTAGTCCGGGTTTAGCCTGGTAGCGTCAGTGCGGCGTACTCCTGCTGCCTGTGTGTCTGCAGCTTCAGCCGTCGCCTCTCATCTTCTTGCTCCCACAGTTTCTCCTCCTCCTCACTTGCCCTCTGTGATAGCCTCTAGCTTTGCTTATAATTGTGAACTATTGCTCTGTCTGCTTGTTATGTTGATTGTACCCCACTTTGACTATGGGGGTGTGTCAGAATGTGATGGTTGTCTAGCCTGCAGTGGGGTACTCTATAGCGAGTACAGCCCTTCTAGGGTTTGCATATATGTATCCCTATGCTTGTTAGTCAAAACCCTTCTTGCCTGTTTCTCGTTTTGGCCTAGCATTTTGACACCTTCAACCTCAACGGCTACGTGGACGCAGATCATGCCGCTGACCCTGCGAATCGACGGTCCCGAACCGGCTTTGTTTTCCGCCTGGAGCCTACTGGCCCAATCTCCTGGAACTCGCAGAAGCAGGAACTTGTTGCCCTGTCATCGGCCGAAGCAGAATACATCGCCGCGACAGCAGCAGTTCGCGAAGGCCTGTACCTGCAAGAGCTGCTACAGGAGGCGAAAATTCCAACTTCGCCCACCTTTCGCCTTCACTGCGACAACCAGAGCGCCATCAAGATCGCGAATAAGCCAGGGTTCGTGAACCGCACGAAGCACATCGCGTTGCGATACTTCTTCGTCAAGGACGAAATCGACCAGGGTAAAGTTGACCTCGCGTACTACCCGACAACTGAGATGGCAGCTGACTTCCTCACCAAACGTCTGTCACGTCAGCAGTTCAAACACTGCTCCGACCTCACCGGAGTAGTCAAGCGAGTCACCACCCTGCGCGTCCAGGAATGAAGGGGAGTGTTACGATACGAAGTTTTATGAGAAGGCATTCCTGTATGCTGCAGGAGCCGACTCTACCGAGTACGAAGTCGAGGAGTCAGAAGAATCGAAGCGACACAGCAACCGTCTGACCAAGACCGATGCGGGAAGTAGCATTTGAAATGAAAAGAGCGGGAACAGGTTTGAAACCGATTCCCGCGCCGCACGGTTTTGAATCTCGCTGCAATAAGTGAATGTACCCCTTAGAGTACATGGCTAGTCTAGGACGTTTCACATTCCTTTGTATTTTCTATATAAACCCTATGTATGCATGCAATTATCAATCTCAGTCATTTACATCCACTATGACCTTAGTTCAATACTTCGGCTGCAACACTACTTGCGATCAACCCTGAACGATCCTCTGCTAAAGTCCCACCTCAGATTGTAACACCCCCCTCAGTGCGTTGTTTGCTAGTGAGGTGAAAGCACCGATAATCTGACTAAAGGAGAGGCGAGTGGCTGACATTGTGCGCTGGTTGAGAAAGTTGTCAAACTACAGCAGCCAATCAGCGCTCATATTGCCGCCAACACATGACCGAAATCAGGAGAATGATCTCGACGATTCGGGGGAAAACCGCTAAACGCGTGGGGGGGGGGGGGGTCGGCTAGGGGGCATGTATTCCCTATCCAGAGTATATTCTGTCAGAATCCCAGCCACTAGACCACTGGGATAAAAGGGCTTGTTTGTGTAGCGAGTCCGTGCGCCCATAACCCCCCAGGCGAACGCGCCTGTAACCCCCCCAAGGATCAATCGGGGATCTCACAGTGCAGATCTACTGACACCCCCCCGCACTGGGAGGCCCAGGACTGAGCACAGCGGCACCTATCTGCATGTGCATGCACCGGGATTCGAACCCGAGACCGCTCTGACATTATGTCAGAATCCCAGCCACTAGAACCACTAGCCTAAGGTTTAGGCTAGGTATGAGAAAGCAGTTCAAGCAAAAGGAGAGGTTGCACTATAGAATGGCAAGTACAAATAGGTCAGAAACATGCAAGGAGTGGTGCACTACCAAGCACGACAGCTACAAACCTACACTACAGCTAGAACTACATGCACTTATACAAAATATATGCAATATATATTCTGACAGATTCGGTCCCCGAAAAAAGCCTACAGCATAACTCTGACAAATCAGAGAAATCTGAAGTCCCAAAAAAAATACCCAGCGGGTACAGAGTTACTTTAGAAAATGACTCTGATTTTCAGAGAAACAGAGTAATTTACTCTGAAAACGTGGGGCCTGATACTGGTACAACGTATGCTGGAGACACGGCAGGATCCGATTGTAGTGCTTGAACCTTGAAGTTCCAAACCTCTCTGAACTAACATTTTAGAGTGCTCTTCTGGAGAATTACTCAATGACCCTCAGAGCAAACATTTGTTTGCTTCGTATTTTTAACTCCACCTCGGTGAGTTTTTTTCTTGAAACAGCATCCCTGTTGTGCACGTATGACTAGCATGTGCCAATTTCTCCACATATAACCCATTCGTGAGCACAGTGCTCCAGGCGTTTCAGGAAACAGGTGAGGTGTGTTGGGGGCGATGTGGGCACAGCTGAGGTGGCCTGGCAGCTGCATGGAGGGCTTGTGTGGATTGAAGTGCTGCAGGGGGGGCGTTGGTGGGCAGAGGGGGCGTTGACGGGCAGCAGAGGGCTAGAGGCAGCAGAGGGCTAGAGGCAGCAGAGGGCTAGAGGCAGCAGAGGGCTAGAGGCAGCAGAGGGCTAGAGGCAGCAGAGGGCTAGAGGCAGCAGAGGGCTAGAGGCAGCAGAGGGCTAGAGGCAGCAGAGGGCTAGAGGCAGCAGAGGGCTAGAGGCAGCAGAGGGCTAGAGGCAGCAGAGGGCTAGAGGCAGCAGAGGGCTAGAGGCAGCAGAGGGCTAGAGGCAGCAGAGGGCTAGAGGCAGCAGAGGGCTAGAGGCAGCAGAGGGCTAGAGGCAGCAGAGGGCTAGAGGCAGCAGAGGGCTAGAGGCAGCAGAGGGCTAGAGGCAGCAGAGGGCTAGAGGCAGGAGGGGGATGAAGGCGTTGTCGAGCTGGTGGGTGAAGGCCTCCAGCAGCGCCGAGAAGATGCACGCCACCACGCTCGCTGCTATGGGCGCCTGCTGGGGGGACAGGGCGATGGGTTTGGTCCTGTGTGGGAGGACATAAGGACCAGTGCTCTGAGGTGAGCAGCAAGGCAAGAGAAAGGGAGTGAGGCGTGCGTACCTGTAGTAGATTGGAGAAGAGGCATTGGTGAAGCGCAGCAGCAGAGGCATCATGGGCGGGTGCAAGGGGAGGCGGCAGCAGAGAGAGCAGCAGCAGCGAGGCGGCGAGCATGGCGGCAGCAGCGGCGGCGGTGCCCTGCCATGACTTGGGCGAGTCTGATGCCACTCGCTGCCGCCCCCACCGCACCCCCACCACTGATGCCTGCACGCAGGGCAGGGCCGTGGGGTAGGTGTGTGGTTGAGAAGTGTGGGAGGCGATGGGAAGGGAGGGGCACAACAAGAGGGGGAAGGGACAAGAGGGGGAAGGGACAAAAGGGGGAAGGGACAAGAGGGGGAAGGGACAAAAGGGGGAAGGGACAAGAGGGGGAAGGGACAAGAGGGGGAAGGGACAAGAAGGGGAAGGGACAAGAGGGGGAAGGGGTGTGAGGCGCATGCAGCAGAAGAGCAGAGGGGAGCGTGAAGGGAAGGCCGGAATGACGCGTGCGCAAAGAGTGCAGGCAATCAAAGCAACAGAGGGCAGTGGAGTCACACACAGCAATGCCCCACTCCCCCCTGCCCCACCCCTGCCCCACCCCTGCCCCACCCCTGCTCCACACCCCCATGCCCCCCTCCCTACTGGCCTGGTCCTCTCAGTGCCACGCCCCCCCTGCTGGTGACCCACCACGGTATCCCCGATGCCAACACTCAGCAGCCCCGCAAAGGGTGCCACGTGGCAGGCTTGGATTGGAGAGTGCGAGGAGGAGAGGAAGGCAGGGTGGGTGAGGGAGAGAGGCAGCATGCAGGCGAGCAGCAGAGAGAAGTGGCTGCCCACAGGCAGGGGGAGAGGGGCAAGGGGGAGGGGAGAGGTGGAGAGGAGAAGGGGGAGGGGGAAGGGGGAGGGAGTAGGGAGGGGGGAGGGGGGTTGACGACGAGAGGGGAGGATGTGCATGTGACTGTGAAACAGAGAAAAACAATGGCGAGAAGAGAACGGGAAGCAAGGGGCGGATGAGGATGAGGGTGTGAGAGGGAGCAATGAGTGGTGGGTGGGGAAGGGAGGGCAGGAGGGGGAAAGGATGAGGAGACAGATGCGGTTGGCCTTTGGGGGGCGAGAGAACGTTGTCAATGAGCCTAGAAGAGCGCAATGAGCCTAGAAGAGCGCAATGAGCCTAGAAGAGCGCAATGAGCCTAGAAGAGCGCAATGAGCCTAGAAGAGCGCAATGAGCCTAGAAGAGCACAATGAGCCTAGAAGAGTGCATGGCTTGTGATTGAAGTGCTAGAATGGAGGCATCGCCCATGCCCATGGCATCGCCCATGGCATCGCCCAAGCCCATGGCATCGCCCGGCAGCCATATGAAGAAGACCTTCACCGAATGCACACCACCAAAGCTGGCATCACCTGATACTCACCTGAGAAATACAGGGGCTTAGGGCTGGCATCACCTACCTGAGAAATATAGGGGTTTACGGCCAGCATCACTTGAGAATGATTGGGCCGGCATCACCTGAGAATGATTGGGCCGGCATCACCTGAGAATGAGCGGGCCGGCATCGCGGGCGTCAGTGAAAGGGCGAAGGAAGGCCTCCAGGGGTGCGTAGAGTGGAGGAATGCACTGGTACTGTCGTGGGGGGACAGGGGGGATGACAGCAGGGGGGATGGCAGCAGGGGAGATGACAGCAGGGGACATGACAGCAGGGGAAAAGACAGGACCACGAAGCATAGACATGGATCTACTGATGTGGTGTTCAATAGTTCTCAGGGGTGACTCACTTTCATGGCTTCCAGGCGACTCACTCTCGTGGCTTCAAAGCGACCCACTCTCGTGGCTTCAAGGCGACCCACTCTCATGGCTTCCAGGCGACTCACTCTCGTGGCTTCAAGGCGAATCACTCTCGTGGCTTCAAAGCGACTCACTCTCATGGCTTCAAGGGGACTCACTCTCATGGCTTCAAGGGGACTCACTCTCATGGCTTCAAGGCGACTCCCTCTCATGGCTTCAAGGCGATTCACTCTCATGGCTTCAAGGCGACTCACTCTCATGGCTTCGAGGCGACTCACTCTCGTGGCTTCAAGGCGACTCACTCTCGTGGCTTCAAGGCGACTCACTCTCGTGGCTTCAAGGCGAGTCACTCTCGTGGCTTCCAGGCGACTCACTCTCGTGGCTTCCAGGCGACTCACTCTCGTGGCTTCCAGGCGACTCACTCTCGTGGCTTCAAGGCAACTCACTCTCGCGGCTTCAAGGGGACTCACTCTCGCGGCTTCCAGGGGACTCACTCTCCGGCTTCCAGGCGACTCACTCTCCGGCTTCCACGCGACTCACTCTCGTGGCTTCCACGCGACTCGCTCTCGTGGCTTCCAAGCGACTCGCTCTCGTGGCTTCCAGGCGACTCGCTCTCGTGGCATCCAAGCGACTCGCTCTCGTGGCTTCAAGGCGACTCGCTCTCGTGGCTTCAAGGCGACTCGCTCTCGTGGCTTCAATGCGACTCGCTCTCGTGGCTTCAAGGAACTCGTTCTCGTGGCTTCCAGGCGACTCGCTCTCGTGGCTTCCAGGTGACTCGCTCTCGTGGCTTCCAGGCGACTCGCTCTCGTGGCTTCCAGGCGACTCGCTCTCGAGGCTTCCAGGCGACTCGCTCTCGAGGCTACCAGGCGACTCGCTCTCGAGGCTTCCAGGCGACTCGATCTCGTGGCTTCCAGGCGACTCGCTCTCGTGGCTTCTAGGCGACTCGCTCTCGTGGCTTCCAGGCGACTCGCTCTCGTGGCTTCCAGGCGACTCGCTCTCGCGGCTTCCAGGCGACTCGCTCTCGCGGCTTCCAGGCGACTCGCTCTCGTGGCTTCCAGGCGACTCGCTCTCGTGGCTTCAAGGCGACTCGCTCTCGTGGCTTCCAGGCGACTCGCTCTCGTGGCTTCAAAGCGACTCGCTCTCGTGGCTTCCAGGCGACTCGCTCTCGTGGCTTCAAGGCGACTCGCTCTCGTGGCTTCAAGGCGACTCGCTCTCGTGGCTGTTAGATTATACTACTCATTTGTATCCTGCATTGATCATATAAACCCTATGATAGAGATAAGCACCCAAACTATGTTTGGGTGCACAAACTAGGGTTCACCCAAGTTGGGGGTTGGAACCCAACGTTGGCCCAATTATTGGCCCCCAAGGTTGGGTTGGGAGATTATTGGCCCCCCCAATAATGTTGGCTCACTTTGGCCAACATTATTGGGACCCTCCATTAATTCTCCAACTTATTGGTGTGGGGCGGGGCCAATAATGTTGGCTAGGTACCCAACCAACCCACCTTTCCTAGCTTCAACTATGTAAGCCCTCTTGATTCTTAATCAACTTAACAGTTCAATTCTAACAGTGGCTTCAAGGCAAATCGCTCTCGTGGCTTCAAGGCGACTCGTTCTCGTGGCTTCGAGGCGACTCGCTCTCGTGGCTTCGAGGCGACTCGCTCTCGTGGCTTTGAGGCGACTCGCTCAAGTGGCTTCGAGGCGACTCACTCTCGTGGCTTCGAGGCGACTCACTCTCATGGCTTCGAGGCGACTCACTCTCATGGCTTCGAGGCGACTCACTCTCATGGCTTCGAGGCGACTCACTCTCATGGCTTCAAGGCGACTCACTCTCGTGGCTTCCAGGCGAGTCGCTCTCGTGGCTTCCAGGCGGCTCACTCTCGTGGCTTCCAGGCGAGTCACTCTCGTGGCTTCCAGGCGGCTCACTCTCCTGGCTTCAAGGCGACTCACTCTCATGGCTTCGAGGTGACTCACTCTCATGGCTTCGAGGCGACTCACTCTCATGGCTTAAAGGCGAGTCACTCTCATGTCTTCAAGGCGGCTCACTCTCTTGGCTTCAAGGGGGCTCACTCTCGTGGCTTCTAGGGGAGTCACTCTCGTGGCTTCAAGGGGGCTCACTCTCGTGGCTTCAAGGGAACTCACTCTCGAGGCTTCAAGGGGACTCACTCTCGTGGCTTCCAGCGACTCACTCTCGTGGCTTCCAGGCGACTCACTCTCGTGGTTTCCAGGCGACTCACTCTCGTGGCTTCAAGGCGACTCACTCTCGTGGCTTCAAGGCGACCCACTCTCGTGGCTTCAAGGCGGCTCACTCTCGTGGCTTCAAGGCGGCTCACTCTCGTGGCTTCAAGGGGAGTCACTCTCGTGGCTTCAAGGCGAGTCACTCTCGTGGCTTCAAGGGGACTCACTCTCGTGGCTTCAAGGGGACTCACTCTCGAGGCTTCAAGGGGACTCACTCTCGTGGCTTCAAGGGGACTCACTCTCGAGGCTTCCAGGCGACTCACTCTCGTGGCTTCCTGGCGACTCGCTCTCGTGGCTTCAAGGCGACTCGCTCTCGTGGCTTCAAGGCGACTCGCTCTCGTGGCTTCAAGGCGACTCGCTCTCGTGGCTTCAATGCGACTCGTTCTCGTGGCTTCAAGGCCACTCGCTCTCCGGGCTTCAAGGCGACTCGCTCTCCTGGCTTCCAGGCGACTCGCTCTCGTGGCTTCCAGGCGACTCGCTCTCGTGGCTTCCAGGAGACTCGCTCTCGTGGCATCCAGGCGACTCGCTCTCGTGGCTTCAAGGCGACTCGCTCTCCTGGCTTCCAGGCGACTCGCTCTCGTGGCTTCCAGGCGACTCGCTCTCGTGGCTTCAAGGCGACTCGCTCTCGTGGCTTCCAGGCGACTCGCTCTCGTGGCATTCAGGCGACTCGCTCTCGTGGCTTCAAGGCGACTCGCTCTCGTGGCTTCAAGGCGACTCGCTCTCGTGGCTTCAAGGCGACTCGTTCTCGTGGCTTCAAGGCGGCTCACTCTCGTGGCTTCAAGGCGACTCGCTCTCGTGGCTTCAAGGGGACTCGCTCTCGTGGCTTCAAGGCGACTCGCTCTCGTGGCTTCAAGGCGACTCGCTCTCGTGGCTTCAAGGCGGCTCACTCTCATGGCTTCAAGGCGGCTCACTCTCGTGGCTTCAAGGTGGCTCACTCTCGTGGCTTCAAGGCAACTCACTCTCGTCGCTTCAAGGGGACTCACTCTTGAGGCTTCAAGGGGACTCGCTCTCGTGGCTTCAAGGCGACTCACTCTCGTGGCTTCCAGGCGACTCGCTCTCGTGGCATCCAGGCGACTCACTCTCGTGGCTTCAAGGCGACTCGCTCTCCTGGCTTCCAGGCGACTCGCTCTCATGGCTTCAAGGCGAGTCACTCTCGTGGCTTCAAGGCGAGTCACTCTCGTGGCTTCAAGGGGAGTCACTCTCGTGGCTTCAAGGCGGCTGACTCTCTTGGCTTCAAGGCGGCTGACTCACGTGGCTTCAAGGGGAGTCACTCTCGTGGCTTCAAGGGGAGTCACTCTCGTGGCTTCAAGGGGACTCACTCTCGTGGCTTCAAGGGGACTCACTCTCGTGGCTTCAAGGGGACTCACTCTCGAGGCTTCAAGGGGACTCACTCTTGTGGCTTTTAGGCGACTCACTCTCGTGGCTTCCAGGCGACTCACTCTCGTGGCTTTCAGGCGACTCACTCTCGTGGATTCAAGGCGACTCACTCTCGTGGTTTCAAGGCAGCTCACTCTCGTGGCTTCAAGGCGGCTCACTCTCGTGGCTTCAAGGCGGCTCACTCTCGTGGCTTCAAGGGGAGTCATTCTCGTGGCTTCAAGGCGAGTCACTCTCGTGCCTTCAAGGCGACTCACTCTCGTGGCTTCAAGGGGACTCACTCTCGTGGCTTCAAGGGGAGTCACTCTCGTGGCTTCAAGGGGACTCACTCTCGAGGCTTCCAGGCGACTCACTCTTGTGGCTTCCTGGCGACTCAATCTCGTGGCTGTTGAAAAGCTAGAAGAGATATATTGAATAATGAGCCAAGAGGCCCTTTAGTACAAACAATGAGCAAGAGAGAGATGAAAGGGAAGCTTACCCTATTGGCCAATAAGTTGGCCAATGGGTGAGCTTGCTTGTGACCCAAGCAACCACAAATGTGTGTTGGTTGGGATTGGTTGAGCTAGGGACCAATCCCAACCAACCACAAAATGTGGTTGGAGGGTACACTAAACAACCCCCCAATTTATAAGTGTACTACAGATCTAATTCTAGCCTATGTATGTTGTACAAATTATGAAATTACAACACAACCCCCCAACATGCATAAGGCTAGAAGGCTAGAATCAAGAGGCGGGAGGCGACTTAGGAGGAGTGAGGCCAAGAAGACGAAGTAGGAAAGAGTGAGAGACGTGAGGAAGAGCTTTTGTGAAGATGTCGGCAAGGTTGGCCGCCGAGTCAACCTTGTCGAGCCGAAGGTGCCCCGCCTGAACAAGATCGCGAATGAAGAAATGACGGAGCTCAATGTGCTTGGAACGCCCGTGAAACACGGCATCTTTGGTGAGGTGAATGGTACTGGCATTGTCACACCAAATGGTGGGACAGCGCTGGGGGGCACCAAGTTCCTCAAGGAGGAAGGTGAGCCAGCGGGCCTCTTGCGCAGCCATGGTGGCGGCATACAACTCCGCCTCGCAGGAGGAGAGGGCGACAGCCGAGGAGCGGGTGGAGCGCCAGCTGATAAGGCCGCTGCCAAGAGAGAAGCCATAGCCCTGGGAGGAGCGACGATCTGGCTGGGAATCAGCCCAGGAGGAGTCACTGTAGCCGCTGAGGGTAGGTGGGGAGGGGCCGCCGAGGGTAAGGACAGAGGTTCCGGGTCAAATATATCACCAGACAAGGGAGGGGCACCGTGGGACGAGGACGACGGTGGGGGAGGGGGAGGGAGGATGGGGGGAGGAGGAAGTAGAGGGGGAGGGGTGGTGTCAGACCAGACAAGGGGACGGGGAAGACCATGTTGAAAAGCTAGAAGAGATACATTGAATAATGAGCCAAGAGGCCCTTTAGTACAAACAATGAGCAAGAGAGAGATGAAAGGGAAGCTTACCCTATTGGCCAATAAGTTGGCCAATGGGTGAGCTTGCTTGTGACCCAAGCAACCACAAATGTGTGTTGGTTGGGATTGGTTGAGCTAGGGACCAATCCCAACCAACCACAAAATGTGGTTGGAGGGTACACTAAACAACCCCCCAATTTATAAGTGTACTACAGATCTAATTCTAGCCTATGTATGTTGTACAAATTATGAAATTACAACAGTGGCTTTCAGGCGACTCGCTCTCGTGGCTTCAAGGCGACTCGCTCTCGTGGCTTCCAGGCGACTCGCTCTCGTTGCTTCCAGGCGACTCGCTCTCGTGGCTTCCAGGCGACTCGCTCTCGTGGCTTCCAGGCGACTCGCTCTCGTGGCTTCCAGGCGACTCGCTCTCGTGGCTTCAAGGCGACTCGCTCTCCTGGCTTCAAGGCGACTCGCTCTCGTGGCTTCAAGGCAGCTCGCTCTCGTGGCTTCAAGGCGGCTCGCTCTCGTGGCTTCAAGGAGGCTCGCTCTCGTGGCTTCAAGGCGGCTCGCTCTCGTAGCTTTAACGCGGCTCACTCTCGTGGCTTCAAGGCGAGTCACTCTCGAGGCTTCAAGGCGAGTCACTCTTGTGGCTTCAAGGCGAGTCACTCTCGTGGCTTCAAGGCGAGTCACTCTCGTGGCTTCAAGGGGACTTGCTCTCGTGGCTTCAAGGGGACTCGCTCTCGTGGCTTCCAGGCGACTCGCTCTCGTGGCTTCCAGGGGACTCGCTCTCGTGGCTTCCAGGCGACTCGCTCTCGTGGCTTCCAGGGGACTCGCTCTCGTGGCTTCCAGGCGACTCGCTCTCCTGGCTTCTTGGCGACTCGCTCTCCTGGCTTCCAAGCGACTCGCTCTCGTGGCTTCCAGGCGACTCGCTCTCGTGGCTTCCAGGAGACTCGCTCTCGTGGCATCCAGGCGACTCGCTCTCGTGGCTTCAAGGCGACTCGCTCTCCTGGCTTCCAGGCGACTCGCTCTCGTGGCTTCCACGCGACTCGCTCTCGTGGCATCCAGGCGACTCGCTCTCGTGGCTTCAAGGCGACTCGCTCTCGTGGCTTTAAGGCGACTCGCTCACGCGGGACACGACGACCAGTGCGAGTAGTACGAACAGGCGACGCAAGACGAGACTCAGGCTCACGACGCTCTGTAAGACCTCCTGTGGGACCAGCGTAAGGAGAGGGAGCAGGGAGAGGCGAGGCAGGTGGTAACTGTGACTGCGGCTGGACAGGCAGAGGACACTCGACGGAGGGAGGAGGACTAGGAGGAGGAGCCTGACCAAGAACCTGCTGAAGGAGTGGTACGAAGTACGGTCGCGGCCGCGCAGCGTCTCCAGAACCAGCAGGGACACCAGCGGCAGCCCCAACGCCCGAGTCCTCAGCACCAGCAGCAGCTCCAACACCCGGGTCCTCAGCACCAGTAGCAGCGCCACCGCTCGGGTCCTCAGCACCAGCAGTAGCGCCAACGCCCGGGTCCTCAGCACCAGCAGCAGCTCCAGCGTCCGGGTCCTCAGCACCAGCAACAGCGCCACCGCTCGGGTCCGCAGCACCAGGAGCACCACTCCGAAGACTGCAGCGCCGTGTGTACCACTCTCGGATCACCTGAATGGGGGGGAGCTCCTGGGTAGGAGGGGAAGTACTGGGACGAGCTCCAGAAGCACCTCTCCGGAGGCGGCAGTACTCGAGGTACCTCTCCTGCAGCTGCTGGGAGGAGAGGGCTCCTCCAGGTGTAGTACGCTCAGGCTCAGCACCCGAAGACTCAGCACCCCCAGACTCAGCACCCCCAGACTCAGCACCTCCAGGCTCCGCACCTCCAGGCTCCGCACCTCCAGGCTCAGCACCCCCAGGCTCCGCACCTCCAGGCTCAGCACCCCCAGGCTCCGCACCCCCAGACTCAGCACCCCCAGGCTCAGCACCCCCAGACGCAGGACGCGAGTCAACAGCTACCTCGACAGGCTCACCCGGGTCTACCTGGGACACACCTGAGGGAGCGGCACCCTGAGGGGGGAGGGGGTCTGGTACCTCAGCACCTGGAGCGAGGAAGAGAGGCGGGGGGGGGGAGCGGGGCAGTGCGGTAGGGGAAGAGGCAGTAGTAGGGGACAGACTCGTCAAAAGTGACGTCCTGAGAGGCCAGAACCCGGCGCGAGGTGACGTGGTAAAACTGCCATCCAGGCGCGTCAGGCACAAAGCCAAGAAAGACACAGGGAATGGCGCGACGCGAGAGCTTGTCCGCGGACGTGTCGCGGACAAAAGCTCGAGATCCCCAGATCCGGAAACGCGACGCATCGCCAACCTCTCCCGTCCACCGCAGAGTCGGGGAAGTCTCCGGCAAGGAGACACGGGGCCAGAGGTTGAGCTGATGCGCAGCGTATCGGACCGCAAACGGCCACAGAAAGTGGGGAGCAGCCGCATGGGTCAGGGAGGTACGAGCGACCTCCATGACTAGGCCAATGCGGCGCTCAGCGACCCCATTCTGCTGCGGAGAGGCCGGAAGCGTGAACGACTGCTCAATGCCGTGCTCAGCACAGTAGGCTGCCAAGAGGTCGGAGGCGAACTCACCACCTCTGTCAGAGTGCAAGCGCAGGACAGGAAAGTCCGAGTGAAAGCGCTTGCCTAGCTGGAGACGGGCTCGGCTGATCCAGGGGATCAAAACACCAGGGACGTCACTTTTGAGCACACGTGCAGTGTGTCACACGCTCGTAGGCAGGGGTGAACTGGTGAACACCCCCGTCCTGCAGCGCACAACCTGCCACCAAGTTCGTAGAGAACGAGGGGAGGTAGAGACCTGAGAGCGTGCCGGACGGAACCGCTGGACACGGAAGTGTAGTGGAGGAGGTCGCAATGACCGGACCCCCAGAGGGGTCAGCAAGAGAGACAGCAACCGGCCGAGCTAGTGGCTCAAGGACAGTGCGGTCACGAAAGAAAGAGCGAGAAGCACCTGAGTCCAGTGTGAAGGTGTGCAGTGCTGCAGTCGACTCAGTACCAGGGGGCACAGACGCACTAGCACCTAGGGCAGCTGCTGCAGCAGGACCTGTGGGAGCAGACACACTAGCACCTAGAGCAGCAGCTGGGCTGGCCTGAATGCCCGGGTCGGGCGGAACACGCAAGTACTGGGCACCCTCTCCACTAATAGACATCG